ATAGAGCTATTACTGCTAAACAAATCGGTGAATGAATACTCGACCAGAAATCTTACAAGAAATCCAGATTTCAAAAGTGGGATTATTCGAGAGGATAGACGAAGCGTATGGTTGAGTGGGAAAGTAAATCCTGGTATATATAGAGCTGTTGCTACTAAACAAATCGGTGAATGGTTGCTTGACCAGAAATCTTCAAGAAATTTGGATTTCGAAATCAGAATTTTTCGTGAACAGTATGTCTGTCGTTAACTAGGGAATCATGATGCGGATTTTTTGTGGTTACCTTTTCGGATCGTAAGTTGGGCTCCGATTGATACTTATGTGGAGTAGATAGGATGGAATTCAGTGAACATATTGCTGCGAATTCAAAGCAATGACGGTGCGGGAATGAAGGAGTAGTATGTATGGGAATGTAGAGCGAGTTATGCCTTGGTTATTGGAACGAAGAACTGGGATGTGAATGTTGTTTTTCTAGTTTTTGTAGAGTGACGTCTTTCACCTGTCCTGATGTTTCGGAATATACTTTTTGTGTTGTGGTTCTAATACCTTGAATGATGTGAATAACTTTTTCGGAAGTGTTTGTGAATATACTGAATGAAAATTGCATGAGATGTTTAGTGGTACTCATTGTATTGGTAGAAATATGGTTTCTGGTACTAAATGATGGTATTGACAAATGAATGAGTCTGAGTGTAGTACGCTGAGTTGATGTGGAAAAAAATAAAGTTTCTGGTACGTTTTGTTAGTCGGAATATGTTTGTTGCCTTACTGGCAGGCGGAGTTTTGAAGCTGAGAGCTTTTCCACGTCTTTGTGTTATCTATGTTGAAAACAAGCTGCATGTTCATAAAAATGCTGTTTCATGAATCATGAGGTTAGATTCTCATGTATATGGTAGTTTCGACATGGTGATTCACTTTGCGTCGGAAATAGTTTTCGGAAGTTTTGAAGATAAGTGATAAATGCTGTTTTTCTGCATGAAACCTTGATTCTCGTTAAATTAATCACACTTCTATTCAGTGGAACAGGACTAAAGACTCATTGGGAAAAGTTGATTTCGTTTATAATTTTTATTGTGGAGACTGTCAAATAATATTTAGTTTATTTTTTCTTTTTTTTTCTTGATATTGTTAGTAATGTTTTGGTTTAGGTTCTTTATGGTGCAACGATGAAAAGGAAATTACCAAAAAGCATTTCAATAGCGAAATGTAATATGTATATTAGACATATATTATGGTAATGGAAACGATGAAAACGAAGTTTCAATGATAGCTTTCAAAACTTGTGCAACGAAATACCAATTGTTGGTAGCATAATACTTGCGGCATTCGCTTCTTTCACCGAATTATAGATGCATTGCTTTCGGAGAATCCACTTTGAGATTTATAGAATTTCGAGAATTTTATCCCTCGCTAACCACTCTAGAGTGAGGGTGCGGGTAAGGGAGAGAATGGCTAGAGGTAAGGGTAATGATGAGGTCGACGTTAATGTTAGCTTCTTTCGACAGTAACTATGCTCATCATCACTTTCACCTTCTCATCCTGCCCGTCACCGGCACCCTCATTGTGAAATTACCCTGTGTGGATAATATCAGTATTTTTGAAGAAGACCCCTATTTTCACCCGATAACCCCATTCAGAAATGGTACCATACGATAAAGAATTAAATTCTGCACCTATCACAATCATTTATGGAACCAGCACAGCTCTACAGGCACATCCGGACCAGAAAAATACGAATCTGGTGCTAACTTTAGGTATGTTAAAAAAAGAGTCAAATCTTATGAGAAAGTATGTTAACATAAAGAATTATTTAGTCTCGAGTTTTAAATGGTATGAGTAAATTTAAGTTGCGTAAATAGAGAATGCCTTTATTGACAATTTGATCGTATCTAGAAAGAAATCTGTTGAATCAAATAGTAACACAAATAGGATCTCATGTCTGTTATTGTGATTTTATCTATTATTAGCCACTTATTGTAACTATATAAAAGGTTTTGACGAAAAGTCAGATTAACAATCGAATAGTCATTTATACAATTTTAACAATCGATTAAAATAAATTAAAAATAATTATTATCAAATCCCATCCATCATTTAGATTCAGATATCATATTAAAATCAAATTAAAAATAACGTCATTATAATCTATCAAAATTCGATTATTAATCGAAAAATCTGTTTTAATCTGACTTTTCATCAAAATTTTTTTACATGGGTTTTACATAGAACAACATGGATTTCTTGGATCTTTGGCATTATAGTTCAGTTCATGTACGTGCAGTTCACCCTGCAAATTCAATTTCAGATAGGAGAATCTGTCAAATTTGATTTTGAGAAACATTATGTCTAGCTGATGCGCACTGAGCAAAGCAAAATCCTCTTTCGCAGTCTTTTTTACCAGTTATTCAAGAGATACAAGAGATACTGCTAATTAAACATTTCAGTTGCAATCTTACACAAATCTGCCTCAATTGAGAGACCCAATACAACAATATTCAGCATACTGTTTCTAGAGTGATCA